GTAAATATATAGTAGGAGTGTGATTGCTAGATCGTACATAAGAAGTTTCATTTAATAAGAAACTGGCAAATGTCTTCCAAGTGGCCGCGCCACTCCGCATGTCCACCAGCACCGAGCGCCTGTCCCCGCGGCTCATCCTTGCCGGCGCTGGATGTCACGGTCCCAGATTTCAGCTCTTCTGGTAGGTGTGTAGCGGGATGTCCTTGTGGTAGCTGGTATTCCCTGACAACCTTGAATGTGGAACATCCTTTCATGTGCTTGTGTGTCATCGGTGTATCTTCTCCGGTGAGGTGCCTCTTGACAGCTTTGGGCCATTTTTTATTGTTTGTTTAAAATTGTTTTGTTCTGGGGTGCCTGGGTGGCTCAGTCGGCTAAGTGTCTACCTTCAGCTCAGGTCATGATTCCAGGGACCTGGAATCGAATCCTGTATCCGGCTCCATGCTCAGCGGGGAGTCTGCTTCTCCATCTGCCCCTCACCCAACTTGTGCACTCTCTCTCTCTCAGAAAAATACGTAAACTATATATATATATATATCAGAGAGAGAGCATAAGCAGGGGGAGCAGCAGAGGGAGAAGATTCCCTGCTGAGCAGGGAGCCCGATGCAGGACTCGATCCCAGGACTCCGGGATCATGACCCGAGCCAAAGGCAGCCACTTAACCAACTGAACCACACAGGTGTCCCATAAATGAAATCTTAAAAAAAAAAAAAAAAAGTTGTGTTCTGTTGTTTATGATTATTGAGTCTTAAGAGTTCTTTCTGTATTTTGGGTTGAACAGTCCTTTAGTAGATACGTCTTTTGAAAGGATTTTCTCCCTGCCTGTGTCTTGCCTTCTTATTCTTTTGATACGATCTTTCACAGAAGTTTTAATATGAAGTCCTTACCAGTTATTGCTTTCATGGATTGTGCCTTTGATGTTGTGTCTAAAAGGTCATCGTCATACCCAAGGTCATCCAGATTTTCTATGTTGTCTTCTAAGGGTTTGGTAGTTCGTGTTTTACATTTAGGTCTGGGATCCATTTTGAGTCAACCTTCGTGAAGGGTTAGGGTCTGTGTGTGGATCCACTGTCTGGCGCATGGATGTCTAGTCATTCCAGCCATTTGTTGATGACGCGATGTTTGCTCTGTCATTGTGCCTTTGCTCCTTCGTCAGAGATCAGCCGACCATACTTATGTGGGTCTTTCTTTTTTTAAGATTTTATTTGTCAGAGAGAGGTGAGCAGAAGAGCACAAGCAGAGGGAGCGGCAAAGGGAGAGGGAGAAGCAGGCTTCCTACCTAGCAGAGCTTGACGCAGGGCTCGAACCCAGAACCCCGGGATCATGACCCAAGCTGAAGGCAGATGCTTAACGACTGAGCCACCCGGGGGCCCCTGTGGGTCTGTTTCTGCATCCACTCATCTATTTGTCAATTTTTCATCTGTACCCCAGTCCCGATCACTGTATCTCTTCAGTCAGCCTTGAAGCGGGTAGTGCCCTCCAAGTCTGTTCTTCTCCTTCAGTTTTGTGTTGGCTTTTCTGGGTCTTTCGCATCTTCATCTGAACCTTAGAGTCAGTTTTCCACATCCACAGGATGGCTCGCCGCAGTTCTGACTGGGACCGCACGGGCTCTGCAGACCCAGCTGGGGAGAGCACGCATCATGTCGATACTGAGTCTTCCTACTCGTGAGCACAGGACATTTCTCCATTTATTTACTTTTTCTCTGAGTTTGGGCAGTTTTCCCCAGATAGAGCTTGTGAGGTTAGATTTCGGTGTTACTGTAAATGGTATTGTGTCTTAAATTTCAAGTTCTAATTGTTCACTGCTGATACATGGGAAAGCAAGTGGCTTTTGCGTATTAACTTTATATAACTTTGTATCCTGCAACCTTGCTACAATTGCTTGTCAGTTCCAGGACGGTTCATTGTTGTTTTGCTGATTCTTTTGGGTTCTTCACACGGTGATCATCTGCAAACTAAGCCACTGACGTATGCATGCCTTTAATTTCCCAGATGTACACACTTTATTTCCTTTCTTATCTTATTGCATTGGCTAGTACAGTTGACCCTTGAACAGCAGGTGTTTGAACTGAGCGGGTCCACTTCTCCGAGGACTCTTTTCGGATACAGAGCAGTACCATAAGTGTGTTTTCCCTTCCTTATGAATTTCTTAATAACATTTTCTTTTTTCTAGTTTACCTTAAGAACACAGAATATAATACATACAACATACAAAGTATGTGTCAACGGACTCTTTGTTATTGGGAAGGCTTCCTGACACCAGCAGGCTATTAGCAGTTAAGTTTTGGGGGAGTCAAAAATTATACGTGGATTTTCGACCGTGCGAGGATTGTTGCCCCCAACCCTCATGTTGTTCAAGGGTCAGCCGTACTTCCAGTGTGAGGTTGGAAAGGAGTGGTGAAAGGCGTTCATTGTTAATTAGAAAAAGAATTTCCTCAGGTGTCACCGCTGACCTCTTTCACCCCAGTGGCACCTCTGGCAGCTTTACAGCCTTCAGCCCTTTTCTGCAATGTCACCTTCCCAGACCTGCTGCTCCTGACCGCTGTTTCCAAGCAAGGCTCACTCAAACTTACTATTCTTCCTCCTGGCTTAACTCTTTTTTTCTACAGCAGTTGCCGTCAGCTAACGCAGTAGACGCTTTCTTCATTGTGTCTGTGGTCTGCCCCCCTCACCCTTCACCAGAACCTAAGTGCTCTGTGTGGGCAGATTCCAGTCTCTTTTGTTCACCGCTTTCCCCTCGGTGTCTAACACGCAGTAGGTGCTCAATAAGGTTGTTAAAATGGGTTGATAAACTACGGTTTATGTATAGTTCAGGTTACATGGGATTTCGCTTGGAACTTCTGTGTCTTGAGCATCACCTCCCGTTGTTTGCGTTTCTCTTCTCTCCCTCTCTCTTTCGGAGAGTGTATCCCCAGTCCAGCACCGGTTCTTTTTTTGCTATGAAGCATCTGTGAGTGGAGAAAATCCCATGTGAATACGTACTTGGGGAGGAGAGGGCGGCATGAGCTAAGGGCATCCGGAAGCTTCTGAGCAGGCACATGGTGGGAAAGAAGTGTCCTCTGCCTAGTAGGCACTTGTGCTCTGAGGGCCAGCAGGACTTGTGCAGCCCACGTGTTACAGGTGACTTGGTGTCTACACTATCTGCTGGCTACGCTGGCCAGCAGTGGCAGGACTGAATGTCCCTTCCAGCACGGTCATTTCTAGAATCTTCTCAGGGCCAGATGGTGGTGTTCATCTGGTTCTTTCACTGGGAGCCTTCCTGCTAGCCTGTGTTCACGGTGAGCTGTGCCTAAAGGTACAACTTGGGCCAGTCTCATGACGATTGTTTGGGCTGCCAGGTGGGTGTGCTGTCTTCCCACTGAATGTGAGTAAGCAAGGACGGAGAATCACGGCCCCAAATCCAGGCCCTGATCCCCAAAACCTGTGACTGTCAACTTACATGGCAAAAAGGACTTTGCAGACGTGATTACATAAGGAATATTGATTGAGGGGCACGTGGGGAGCTCAGTTGGCTAAGGGGCTGCTTTTGGCTCAGGTCATAATCCCAGGGTCCTGGGATCAAGCACCCATCGGGCTCCCCGCTCGATAGGGAACCTGCTTCTCCCTCTCCATTGCTTGTGCTCTCTCAAATAAACAAAATCTTAAAAAAAAAAAAACAGAATATTGAAATGGGGAGTTTATCCTGGTTAATGGAGGATGCCAGTGCAATCACAGGTGTCCTTACAAGACGGAGGCAAGGAGGGACAGAGAGAGATGTGAGAGTGGAAGCAGAGGTGACAAACAGGGAGGGAGGACTACGAAAGTGCAAGCTGCTGGCGTTGAAGGCGGAGGAAGGAGCCCTGAGCCAAGGAATCCAAGCAGCCTCTAGAAGTGGGAGAGGATGATACAGTCAATTCTAAGGCCTCCAGGAGCCGGGCCTGCAGAAACCTTGGTTTTAGGACTTCTGACCTCGGAACGGTAAGATGGTACGTTGCCCCAGGTCTGTGGAGACCTGTTACTGCAGCCACCGAGCGCTCCTGCGGGTGGAGCGCCAGCCTCCCTCCCAAGGTGGGGACTCATCTTTAGACAGCAGAGGCCCAGGGAGGAGCTGGGCCTCCACGGCACCATCCAGCCTCTGGTCCATACTCCCAGCAAACCCCCGACCCTGACCTTCCACGCACAGGAACAGAAGTCACATAAGCCTGCCTCCTCCTCATTATGGTGTCAGCCAACCGGAGCTGGGTTTTCTGCTTCTGGCAACTCAGTGGAGTCCTGCCCCGACGTGGTCATGGGACACTACCCTCCCCGGGGCGCCGAGTTCTCCTTCACCTCCTGGGAAGATGGGATAGGACTAACGTCCAAGATCTGTTTGCAAAAGGGAGGGCAGCCTAATGGCCGAATGTTCTTTTCTCAAAAGTCCGAAGGCCCTGCCCCATGTCCGGTACGTCCACATGACTCCACAGCAGCGTGGCAAGGAAGGGGTTGGAGGCCCTCCCCTCCCCCATCCCCTCCCCCTCTGGGTGCCACTTCTGAAGCTCAGGGGGAGGGAAGGAAGCGGTGGTCCGGAGTGTGGAAGAGGCTGGGGGTTCTGTGAGGCTGCTGCAGCTGTGGGTCAGGAAGGGGCCAAGGGAGCAGAGACAGTGGCCTGGGCTCTTGAGCCATCCCTGAGAATTGTCTCCGCCCTCCCAAGAGAACCAGGCAGAGGATGAGTCAGAACTAAAAAAAATATTTCATTTCATTCTGAATAAAAAACGGAACAGACAGAACTCTCGGGGATCCTGAAAACAATGTCATTGCTACGGCAAAATTTCACAGAAATCATCGCACAGAGTGTGGAGACCGAGCCCAGGCCCCAACCAGTGGTAAAGGCTGCCTATCTGGGGAGGGGCACGGGGGTGGTGGGGGAGGTGGTGGCCCCTGTGGGCCAGGCACAGGTGGTGGCTGTGCCCCTGGGATGAGCCCTGCCGGGTCCCCAGGGACCAGGCTCAGGGCCTGGCCTCCAGCTCCCACCACAAGGCTGCAGCCAGGGGCTGGGAGGGGTCGCCCTGTCCTCAAGGGCCCTCTGTGCGGGAGCCCTTCCGGCTGCGTGTGGCCCACATTCCCCGCTTGGAGTGGTAGTGGTGGTAGAAGTTCCTCAGTCGGAGCCGCTCCACCTCCAGCCCTGCCTGCAGGACCCTGGGTAGACAGGGGGTGTCAGGACCCTGGGGCGTCGTCGCAGAGCTGCCCCTAAGCCTATAGGGTATGTGTTTTGGGGGGGGTGCTGGTGTCAGGACCTGGGTGGTAGGAGATCACTGTGGCTGCTCTGATTCTTCTGGAACCTGGGGTAGGCAGGAAGGGCGTGGTCAGGGCCCTGGCCCAGGGGCTGGGTGTGTGAGGGATGCCCCTACTGCAGGGTTCTGGTGGGGGATGGGGACTCAGGGCCACGACAGAACTACAGAATCTGGGGACATGGTCTGTTCCAAGGCTGCCCCTGAGTCTGTAGGACCCTGGAGATAAGAAGGGGTTTTGGGGGTTGGGGGGGTCGAAGAGTTTCTCCCCAGGCCCCCAGATCCTGGGAGATGAAGCAGAAGCACAGAGACCCTGCACACATGAAGGCCCCTCAGCCTGCCCCTTCCCACTCAGAGGAAGCTGTGGAAGTGTCCTTAGTCTAGCTGAGGGGTGGGGAGGTGGTCACCTGTCCAGGAGCTCCCAGTCCTCGCCCCCCCACTGGTCACGGAACTCCTCAGTGTTCATGCCTCCGACGCGGTCGAAGTCTGACTTGTAGATCCCGAAGAGGCCAAAGCCATTCACCTCCCAGTAACCTGGGCAGGGAGATGGCCTTCAGACCCCAGGTCTTGCAAGCCTTCCTCCCCAACCTCAGGAGTGGGTCTGGTACGGGGTCCCATCCCCAGAGGGGCTCTCAGGGGTCACCCCTCTGTGGGCGGGGTCATAATCTGGAGCCCTGCCCAAGAGTGGGGGTGCTGGAGGAGGTCCCTAGGGGCAGGCATGATCCTGGAGGTGCTGGGGGGGACCTGGGTTTGTGGACGAGGGGCACTGATGGGCCCCCAGGCCTACTTCAGGAGTTGGGAGAGGCCCCCAGGGGCCGAGATTCTACCCTGGCATTGGTGGGGATTCCAGTGTCACTGGGCTGGGGGCAGCAGGGCCTTACCGTGAGGGTCCCCCGGCGAGCTCCCGCAGCGCAGGCGCATGACCACAGGTGCGAAGGCCAGCTTGCCCTCCACGCAGTGCTTGCGGATGCCGTCCAGGATGTTGGGGGGGAAATGGATGTGTAGATCGCAGAGGAAAACGATGCTGCTGGCATCCTGGAGGTGGAGGTCACGGGACACCTGAGTCCCCTCCCCTCCTCCCCTAGCTGAGCTCCTCCCTTGGCTCCGCCCACTTGGCTCTCCCCACCGGCCCGCGCACCTCCACGGCATCCACGCCAGCTTGCAAGCCTGCGGAGCGCTCAAAGTTTCCAGTTCGCCTCAGGTACTGGTACCTGGGGGGTGAGGGAGAGCAGGGGCAGGGGTAGGAAAACCCACCTCCTGGAGGAGGCAGGATGCGCTCGGTCCTCCCCAGCCGGGGTGGAGGGCACTGTTACCGGGGCAGCCGAGCTGCGCTCAAGGCCCGTTCCACATCCATATCCTCGCTCTCAAAGTCCACCAGGATGACGCTGAAGTGGGAGTCCCCCGTGCGGGCGTGCAGCGCGGCCATGTCGGCCAGGAACTGTGCCACCCAGCGCGCCTGGTTCTTCACTGGAGGAAGATGGTGCCACCGAGTCCATCCCAGGCTGACTTTGCGGTCCCCCTCCACGGCCAGTGATGCTCCCTCGCCTCGCTAGGAGGGCTCCTGGAACCCCACCCCGCATCCCGGGTGCCTGGGCCCACGGCACTCCCGCGCACCTGGCACGATGAAGTGTACCATCACGTCCTGGCGCCAGGCCAGGCGCAGTGGCCGGCAGAGCTCCGGGCGGCCGTCTGGCCGTGTGGAAGCGGCGGGCGCTGGCTCAGGACTCTCTCCGTCCCTGTCTATGTCTCCCGCGTGGGCTCCCGGCAGCCGCAGGAAGACGTACTCGGACAGACGCAGGCGGCCACCTCCACGCTCTTGTAGCTCCAGCTCCAGGAGGAAGCGGCTTCCGCGCGCAGAGTCTCGGCGCTTCTCCACGTTCACGATGCGCAGAAGCGCGTAGCGCCTGGGAAGCGGGGATGGGTCAGCACCCTTGGGCTTCGACCTTGCGTTCCTCCGCCTTCCCTGCCCCCACACCCAGAAAGCAGGGAGCCGCTCAGCTGGGGCTGCGGTAGCTGCTGGGAATCCTCTTCCCTACCAGGCTGCCACAGTCCCCTCACACCTCGTGCCCTGCTGGGGAGCTCCCAGAAGACAGGCGCACACCGTGTGCCTCTCCCTCCCTACAGTAGCGCACACTTGGAGGCGTCCCCAAGCCCAGGCCGGTCCTTTCCTCTGATGTGGTCTTCCTGCCACCACTCACATCCAGTGATCTTTAGGACGTGCTCAGAAAGCCTCGGGGCCACCCACTGTCCACAGAACAAGGAGGCTCCGAGGTCTTAGAGCGGCACTCTAGGACCATAGGCAGATTCTATGGGGCCTTCAGTACCCCATTGCTGGGTAAACCGACTTCCTCTTCCTCCAGGGTCTTTGTTCTGGGGTATCCAGTCTGGCTTGCGGCAACACTCTGAAGTTCTTTCTCAGGCCCTGAGGGAAGGTGCCCCACCCCCCTTCTGCCCCTCCCCCCTTGTCTGGCCCTGCTGAGTATCTTTCGTCCTCCACTCTGCCTTCAAGCAGAGGCTTCTCCTCCTGGGAAAACAAGGTCCTGCCCTTGCTAAGGTGGCTTCTTCCCTTCTGCCGCTTGTTCGCCCTTTGCAGGCAGCGCCCCTCCCTAGGGGAGCCCACCTGGGTGACCTCCAAGGGGTACATTCCCCTCCTATCCCCCGCCATCCCCACTATGCTCCCCCAGTGTCAAGGACTTTCTGTCCCCAATGCTCTTGGTCCACCTACACTCTCCGTCCTTGGGCCGTTCCTACCCTGCTCTCAGGAAGCTCAGAACCAAGGGCTCATGCTCGGCCACCTAGAATCAAACCCCTGCCCCCCCACATGGCCCATCATGGCCCTGGACCTAGCCTGTCACTCATGGCCCCTGTGAGCTTCCCGTCCTGTCTGCTCCTCTCCAAGGCAGCGAGAGGCCTGTCTTCAACCCAGACAGGTCAAACCCCCGTCCTGCTCAAAACCGTGTATTGAAAGTAAGAAAAATGCGGCGGGGGGGGGCAAGTTGCTCAAGGCCCACAACTGCCCCCTCTCCATCCTCTGCACACCAGGCGCCTGGCTGCCTCTCCCAGTGCCTTTGCTACCACCGCTGTCTTTGCGGATTTTGCCCGTCCTTCACGGCTCACACAACTCAGAACTCACCATGCCTCCAATGGGGCCAAGCTGAGGCCTCCCACTTGCCACACCGCTACCTACGTGGGGGTGGAGACAGGCCTAGATTCCTGGGGCCTGGGGAAGCCCAGAGTCAGCCATGGGGCAGGATCCCTGTGCCCGCCTCTGGAGTCAGAGGCGGACCCTCCTGGAAGACCCAGTAGCGTTGTGCCACGGGAGGAGGAAGGGTCCAGGGACTCTTGGCTTGACTCTGGACGTGTCTCTATCTGGAGGAGAGACCTGGCTGGCTCAGATTCATTCTTGGGCTCAGGCCCACAGTGACAGTGTGGGGCCTGGAGGTGCAGGACACAGCTGCCAGTGCCCCACTGCCCCCTGGCTCTGTGTGTGTGTGTTGGGGGCGTCTGAGGCTTCTAACCCTGGACAGGGAACCTGGACAATAAGAAGCCCCAGAAGGCAGAGAGAGATAAGCAGAGAAGACTCTTCCCTAGGGGGTGTATGTGCACTCCCAGGTCAGTACCCCGGGCCCCGGGGAAAGTCCGAAGGTGCCACAGAGGCTAGGGCCTCCCCTCCCATGGCCGCCCTCCCCCATACCCGCCATGGTGGGCGTTGAGCCGCTCCATATACTGAGCCACCACGTCCACGGCCTCAGCCTCCGGCAGCTGCAGGTTCCCCGACACGTTGCAGCGCAGGTCGTTCCAGTCGGAGCGCAGCAGCTCGAAGTCCATCGCGCCCACGCTGAACGTGCGCTGCCAGTCGATGGCGTCCTCACGCCAGCGGCTGCGGGGGGGGCCGCCTGCCTCCTCGCTGTCCTCCTCGCCCTGGGCCCCATCTTCATCAGCTTCCCCCTCCTCCTCCTCCTCGTCCTGCCCAGGCACCTGTGGCCTAGACACCTGGGACAAGCTCAGGAAGGAGGTCACTGGCTGTGCTTCTGATGACAAGTTCAAGTCCGTGGTGGGTCCCGGGAGGCCCAGCATGCGCAGCTGGCCCTCCCGGCTCCCCTGGGTGGCCTGCGCCCGGGCAGAGGGCCTCAGCTCTGTGGCAGGGGAGCCACCGGTCCTGTGGCCTCGAGACCGGGGCGGGTGCGGGGGGGCCCGCAGCTGCACCCGCGGAAGTGGTCTGGGACGGAGGAAGACTCCAGGGAAGGGCGGCCAGCGTGGGCCGCGGGGAGTGAGAGGTGCCAGGGCCCGCGAGGGGGCCCGCAGTCTCGGCCGCACCCGTGTCACATACACCTTTGGGGGCGGCTGCTCAGCGGCTGCTCGGGGGCGCAGGGCGTGGCCCAAGAAGAGGGGCAGGGGGCGCGCAGCCCGGGCAGCCCAGCTCAATGCCCGGGAGCGCCTGGGGGTTGGCAGGTCCCGGGTGCTGGCAGGCGCTGGCGCGGTAGGCTTGGGTCCCGGTGGTGTGGTGGGGGCCACCGGGGACGGGGATCGGCGGCCGCTCTGCAGGAGGGACGCCTCCGTAGGCTCCAGACTGTCCAGCAGCTCACCCTCGTCCTCATCGTCCAGGAAGTCTGTGGGAAGCATGGCTAAGCCGGCCACGCCCAGGTGCGCACGCGCTGGGGGGCGTGGGGGGCACTCACCGTCCGGGTTGAGGAAGAGGAAGGCTCGGCGCTGCCCCTCCTCCTCTTCGTCTTCCTCCCCCTCCTCCCTGTCCATCTTCATGTACTTATAGAACCCAAACCTGGGGTGGGGGCGGGGCATCAGAGAGGACACCCCGCCCCCCTGAAGAGGCCCCGCCCCCATTCCTGGCCTGTGCACCGCGAACTACCCCCCACCTTTCCAAGTACAGCGGCGACTCCCGGTAGAAGCACTTGTTTTCCGTCTCCATATGAGTGAGGCGCGTATGATCATTGGGGTAGACGAAGGACAGGTACACCTACGGGCGGGGCAGAGGGCTCAGGGGATTCTGGGAGGGAGGTCAGGTCTCAGGAGGGTCTTGGGGAGGGGCACTTACAAACTGCAATCCCTGGTATCTGGCGATGGGGAAGTCCTTGACGACATATGTGGGGGCATAGGCGCACGGCTCCAGCACATTCTCCAGACTCGAAGGCTCCACGCGAGGAGCTGTGGGATGGGTGGTCACAGAGTGGCAGGCTGGGTGTCCCCGCCCCGTCCCCCTCCGGGGTCCCCTCTCACTGAGGAAGAAGGTGTCTCGGGGGTCCGGGCGCAGCATGTCGGCTCTGGGCTCCTCCTGAGGCAGGTGCCCCCCCACATGGCTAGCCGGAGACTGAGGGACGTGGGCCACATGGTCCATCTTCAGGGATGACTCATCTGGGGGCAGAGGGATGTGTGGGGTCCCCAGGAATACCCAGACACCACTCCTCAACCCTCCCCACCCACATCCAAACCCATCTCAAAGAGACCCCCCCATCAGGAGCCTACCCCTCTCCCCAGGGAGGTACTGGGCTCCGCACCTGTGTACAAGGAGATGTGAGCAGAGCCTATAACCTCAAACTTCAGGCCCGGCAAGAAGGCTCGCCACTGGGGGAGGAAGAGAGTGGTCAGGACCAAAGGGTGGGGTTGAGAATGGAGACAGCTGGAAAGGAATGGGTCTTCTCTGGTGTGGGCGTGGGGAACTAGCGGGGCAGCCCCTTCAAGGATACAGGGAACTTCTTGGTGGCAGGTAAGGACCCCCGCCCCCCCAGTGCTCCCTCCAGGCCTTGCCTGACACCCTAAGCACTCCCTTGCCTGCTGGCTAGGGCTTTCCTGCGATCTGCTTCCCCATTCTACAGACACTGCTGTCCTGGAGGTCACAGCCCACCTTCCAGGGGCCAGCACACCTCATCTCACCAGATCTCCCCCTCCCTGTTTCCCCACTCCTGTGGCTGCTCCTTCTCAGTCTCCTTTGCAGGCTCTGTCCCTCCTTCCCTCCTCTCAAGCTGGGGTTCCTAGGAGCTGTTCTAGGCCCTCTTCCCTTCCTAGCTCATTCTGGGTCCTCCTGGCACACCCTTGTCTTCCAGAAGATAACCCTAAACCTGCGTCACCAGTCCTGACCCCCTGCCCACTGAGCTGGGAGGTGCCTGTCACATACACCTGACACCTGGGACATCCCACAGAACTGGGGCTGAGAACCCCCACCCCAACCTAATCTTCACGCCACACGCTGCCAGGCTCAGGCCCTCTGTCTTGGGCACACCCCCTGCCCCCTGCACCTGCCACTTCTTCCTTTCCCACCTCCCTGGTTCAGGGACCGCACATAAAAGACCCCTTCCCCCCAGGCTCTCTGCAACAGTGGCCACAGGGTTTTTCCTGAAATGCAAACTCCACTGCTTCTTTCCTGGGACAAAGCCAGAGCTGTCCAGCGTTGGCACTGCAGGCCCTAGCTGGCCACTGGACCCCTTGAGGTTCTAGAAGAATGCCGGGTGTTCCCATTCTTCTGCTTTTCTTGGGATCTGGAATTCACCCAATGCACCCGCATCCCAGAGTCTCTCCTCCTGGGCTTGTCCTTGGAATGCCTCATCTCTCCAGACTCTACTCGAGCGCGGTTTGTCCAGGAAGCCTCTCTGAGCAGACAGAGCTGGCCTCGGGCCCTGTCCCTGAGGGTCTGCTTTGCCACCTGGACAGGACCTCCCAGGGAGGGGGGGCAGGGTCCACACCATTGCCCTGAAGGGAGTGCTGGGAGCGGAGGGGCAGGGGAAGAAAGGCGGACCCTCTAGAAGCCCACAGATGGCAGGCCACACTCACGCCCACTTCCACATGGTCTGAGCCTCGGTCGTCCTGCTTGTGCAGCAGCTCGAAGTAGTACCTCCGGGAGGCCATGAGCCTGGGGAAACAAGGAATCAGGGGGACATGCCCCTGCCGCGCCCCCGGGGGCTCCAAACAGGGCACGCAGAGAGGATGGGGTGCTCAGGGGTGACCCCCCAGGCTGGTTTGACAGGTCAGCCCAAGTGCAGTGGTTCATGTGTGTGCAAATGTGTGCACACTCATGCACACACATACTCCCAGTCACTCACCGCTTGGGCTTGGACACCTGGGAGCTGAACTTGGTGAATTCTCCAGGTGCTGTCCACTCTGAGCCGGTCTGGGAAGCAATACAGGAGGGAAGGAGGGGCCCCCCCCTCCTCGGAGGCCCCAGCCTCATCCAGCCCCTGTCCCTTAAAAGCCGGAGGAGACAGGTTCTGGAGGCAGCAGGAGGCCCAGTGGAGACAGACGGGGGTGTGGGTGGAGGGGCGCGGGCAGGAGGGCTGTGGGGTTCAGGGTACCTTGCCCACAAAGGCCACCAGCTGGGCACTCGCTGGGCTCTCGTTTGGGCTCAGCCAGAACTCAGAGTTGTCGTCTGAAGCCACAGAAAACTGGACATCTCCTAAGGCCACAGGATGGGGACTCAGGGCGGGTGTGGGGCCCCTTGGGATCTCCCCTCCCCAGCATGACCCCACCCTCGCACCGTCTCTCGCCGGGTGGATGAAGCCGAAAATCCGCAGCCCGTAGTTCTTCCACTTGGGGGACACAGCCAACTTCTTCACGGTGGTGCGCGTCTGGGGGGCGGCAGGCTGTGCCGTCAGAGCCTGGGGGCTGCCCCTTCCCGCCCCGGAGGCCGCCCTGCCCCTCAGAACTCACGTGAGGGAACAGCGGGAAGTGCAGGTTCCTCCTTAGGTGGCCCACGGCGCCGCCGCACCAGTCCTCAAACACGTGCAGGTTCACCTGCCCCTTGTACTGGGGGGCGGGAGGGGGCTTACCTTCCGCAAAGCCCACCCCAGCACCCCCCGAAGCCCACGGCAGGTGGGCTGAGCGGAGCTCACCTCGTCCCACCACGGAGGCGCCTGATGAGTGAGGTTCAGAGGGGGGTGCTTTCCAGCCCCCGCGGGAAACAGCGTGTTTGGGTCCCGGCCATCGGGCTACGGGACAGAAAAGGCACCAGGGTCAAAGCTGAGAAATGGGAGGGCAGGGAGGGGTCACACGACCACAGCCAGCGGCACACAAACTTCCCAAGGACTCCCCTGCACACATCCAGCCGTAACACCCCAAGCCACGGTGCCCCGGCCACACACAGCCGGGGCTCCTCACACCTGCTGGGCAGACCTGGGCCAGCCCACATGGGCGCCACTCGCGACACCACCCCCCCAGTTGGAGCTCCAGGGGAGGCTGCCTGTGTCTGGGCTGTGCCTAACCCACGTCCTCCACACACACACAGCCATGGTGTCCGAGGCCCCGGCATGCGAGTGTGTGCTGCACGCGTGTCCCTTCCCACAGCCCTGCTCACCACCTGTGCCTCCTCCCGGCTCTCGCTGGAGTCCTCCGCCCTCTGCGTGGACAGTGCGGCACGGACGCCCCTGCCCTCGGTGACGCCGCTCAGCTTCTCCCCATCTGTGGGGGGCACGTGGGGTGTGAGCGGGGCCTGGGCTCACTCCATGGCACAGCCCCTGCTGCGGGGTGTCAGCTGGGGGCAGCGGGGTCTCTTGCTCCCTTGTGGTACCCAACACACCACTTACAGCGCGGAGGCCGGGCCCTTCTCCCACATCCCACCTAGGGGGCAGGCAGCCCCTCTCCAGGCCTCTGCCTGGCTTCTCCGAGCTCCCTGACCAGTGAGCAGAGCTGTGTGAGACCCGGGGCAGGGGCTCTGCCGACAGGAAGGCCCCGGGAAGCACCCTCAGCACTTGTACTGCCGTGTTCTGTGTCTCCCTCCCTTATCAAACCCTGCTAGGGGCCGGTGCTAAAACTTGTTACTGGGAAAGCTGGGGCTTTGTCTTAATCCTACACAAGCCCCAGCGCATGGCACATGTGCCACCTGCTGCCCTCAGGGTGGGGGTCCAGGACCGGAGGAGCCCTGGCACCAGCCTGTACGGATGAGGGACAGACACACTGGTTAGACTGCTGGAGGACCTGGGGCCAACGTGGCTCTGGAGAGAGACTGTACCCCTAAGGAACTGTTCCTGGATCTGTCTGGGGTCATCTCTAGAGCTTAGCACCCCTACACACATCCCCTAGCCCGGGGCACTGCCTGGCCCCTGACTCCCTCAAATTCCCAGACTTCTTGCCCAAACTGTGGACCTGAACGTAACCCTGTTCCCTGGAGGTGGGGGAGGGGCGGTGGGCACCCCCCAGGACCAGAGGCTCTGGGAGGCTTTATTGCATCCCACTTCTGCCCCTCCTGGTAGTTCCACTCAGGGATCCCCAATCCAGGAGCCCTGCCTCTGCTCTAGAGCAAGCCTGGGTTTTGATGTCCGTGCTCATCCTTCAATCCAGACCCGAGGAGCCAGATTCCTGTGTGGACACAACTGGCCTGAGCCCCTTCTGCTGGACAGGGGAGCTGTCCTTGGTCTCCTGCCTGTGGGACTCCTGTGGGACCTGCCCACCTGATCCTTCTTCAGGCTTCCTTCCTCAGTGCCCTCTGTCCAGCTGGGAGATGAGCCCCTAAGAGGCTCCCAGTCAAATCCCCATAGCCTGGCCCCGATACTCCCTGCCCACCAAGCTAAGGCCATGGGGACTAGGAGCTTTCTGTGCTGGGGTCCCAGGCCAGGCTGCCACCACTGTCCTGCAGGGGCTGAGCCCCAGCACAGTGAGGTCCACAGAGGCCTCCTGCCACACAGGTATCTTGCAGGATCCCAGCAAAGTAGCCCCCCACTCCGCTCCAATGCTGCCTCCCCAGTTGTAAGTGAAGACAGCCCTGACCCAACACTTAGAAAGGCCTCAGCATGTCCAGCTGGCCAGCTTCTCACAAGCCCTACCCTGGGGGGAGCCCAGGTGGCTGGACCGAAGGTGGGGCTGGGTCTCGAGCCAAGACCCGTGAGCTGGGGCTGTCCCTGGAAGGTGCCTCTTGAGAGTCAGACCTTCCAGGACCCTAAACAGCTCCCACTCACCCGGGAGTAGGGAGAGCAGTGACCCAGCTTCTCTGCTGGCAAGGCTGAGAGCAGAGAGGGACTCAGAAATGGGGTTCCCACACCCCCACCCCCTCCCAGTTGCTGAGCTAGACTGCCTAGCTGCTCAGGAAGTCAAGCTGGGGAGGACTGTGGTTGCCTGGAAAGCCACAGAGGTGGCTCAGGAAGGGGGTCTGGTTTTGTTCTGTGTCAACTGTGTCGACTGGGTCACGCACTGGGTCCTACCTTGTTTGCAGATAGTGGCGTTAGGAGGGCTTCTTTTAGGGACTAAGTAGTGCTGGGGGCCTCTCCGGAGTGTGGTGGCTGTGAGGTATGTAGACTCTGGTGGGGGAGGGGGGTTTGGGACAAGCTCCAGACCCCTGGCCTGGGACATCTGTGGAGCCAGGTGTCCAGGCACACAGAGGGGAGGCAGATGGCTCTGGCAACCGGGAGACAGGAGTGGGAATGAACAGGGAGGTTTGGACCCCTCGGTTAGTGGCCCTGGGTGTTGTGAGCCAAAATCATTGTTCTGAATCTTAAGGAAGCAAGACTCTCTTCCCACCTCCCATTCTAAGGACACCCAGCTCCCTGCTTCCTTAAGAAGGGTCAGGGGTACAGGAGCTTCTGCTCCCCCCTTAGCTAGGATGGGTGTGGGCGGGGTTACTCCTGCCCTGAGGTGTTGCCCTCTCTCCCATCCCCACACCCCTTCCCCAGGTTCCAGGCTTTCTGCTTCTCCCCTTCCCACCAGGTTCTCATAGTTTTGTTTCTCCTGCCCGGAGCGCTCTTCCTCTAGATGGGTTCAGCACCCACCACCTTCAAGAGGCTGTCCAGATCCCCTTAGCTGAATGGGCAGGACCCCCTCCCCTGGCTCTTTCCCACAACAGTCAGCAGGACTGATTTGCTTTGGGGGTTCGCTGTCCTCACTGGAGTGTGAGCTGGAAGAAGCTGGGGAGTTCGCTCCAGGCAGTTCAGGGGTCCCCAGGCTGGATCCCCATCACCCCCCAACACAACAGCACCTCAGTCTCTTGTTACGGGTTTACCTAGGGCACCTGCTCCAGGAAGCGTTCCAGCGGCACCAGTCGGCTCCCTCCAAACCCTTCCCCCCCCCCCCCCCCCCCCCCCCCGCCCCTGGTCTGGACGTTGGATCTGTGTCTCCCCCCTCCCCCCGCAGATGGGTGATCAGGCTCCGCTGAGGAGCCAGGTGGTGGAGGTGCAGGGCCTGGGGGCCATGCCTCCAAGACCCACCGTAAACCCCGTCACTACTGCCTCTAGGTCGGATCCCGGAGTCCGCCCAGGTTTGGGGACGCTCCCCGGGAGGGTCGCGCACGTCACTGCTGACGTCACTGGGCTCCGGGCCGGGCCGAACCGCGCCCCCCGCCCCAATATCGCCGAGCCGGGTAGGGCGACCAGGGTCCCTGGACGCGTCTGGCCGGCGCAGAGCCCCGGGCGCGGCGGGAAGGCCCGGACCCCGCGCCGCTCGAGGCCCTCACCGCCCCCCGCCCCCAGGACGCGCGCCCCCGCCCGTACCTCGCCCGTAGCCCAGCCGCTGGCGCAGCGCGCGGCCCTGGCGCACCAGGCTCAGGTGCACGTACGTGAGCCACGCGGCGCAGGTGAGCAGCAGCAGCAGCAGCAGCAGCTTGATCTGCTTGCGGACCTTCTTCACCGGGAACCGCGGCATCGCGGCCCGCCCCGCCCCGCTCGGGCCCTGCTCAGCGGCGGCGCTGCGGCCCCCGGCTCCCGCGCGCCCCGCGCCGCAGCTCCCGGCCCCGCATGGCCCTTTGTCCGCCGCCCGCGGCCGCACGGTGCGGCCGCGACCCCGGGCTGCCCTCGGCCGCGGGCCGGGGTGGGCGGAGCAGCGGCTCCCGGCGGTGCCCCCCGCCCGGCCCCGCCCGGCCGCTCCGGCTCCTCGCTCCTGGGGGCCGCGGCGGGACCGAGCAGCATCCACGCTGCGGTGCTACCCACCGTGAAACGGGCCCGGCGGCCGCGCGGCGCGAGCCAACCGGGGCCCGGCCAGCCCGCGGGGAGCCAATCGGCGGCGCGGGGGGCGGGGCCGGCGGGGTAGGGTGTGCCAGCTCGTCTCCACGCCACGCGCGCGCATCCACCTGGGCGCGCCGGCCGCGCGGCTCGCGGGCGCGGGGACCTGGAGGCGCCGAGGGCTGGGTACCGGGGCCGAGGGCTTCACGGAGGACGGGGAGGTGTGGGGACCGGGGAGTGAGCGTATGGGGGTACGAAGGACGCGGGGACGCGGGACAGAGGTCGGGGGGTGCCCAAGGGACAGTGCGGTGCGAAGGACGGAGATGCAGGAGCTTGGAGATGGGGAGGTGCGGAGGTCTGGGGAGGGGGGCGGGGCAGAGGGGTTGGTGGGCGGGGAGGGAGCCGGCATGAAGACCTGGGAGATGCAGAGGACTGGGGGGGCACTCCGGTTGCTTGGAGGACAGGCTGCAGAGTCAGGGGGGCACGGGAGAAGTGGAGGTGCAAAGGCCTGGGGTATGTGGACCTGGGACACCAGGGTGGATCGGGGTGTGTAGAGATGGAGGCAGTGGAAGGCACAGGCTAGGAGTTGGGGGACGTTGGGGACACAGGGAGCAGAGGACTCAGGGACAGGAAATAGGGGACTCCAGGGGCCTAGGAAATGTGGGGGGAAAGCTGGAGGATGGGGTACAGCCCGGTCTTGGAGTTGGAGCAAGCCTCTAGAAAATAGTGCAACCCGGAGGAATGGGGCTCAAAGTGGAGGAAAGGGAAAGGAAATTTGGGGGAGATGCACAGGTGGTAGGTGATGATGATGGGTGAGGGGGCAGGAGTGTGGGGTCTGCCATGGAGGTGAGACTGAGGAGACTCAAAAGCACTGGGCTTTATCCGGGTCGCGGGCAGGACATACCGAGAGGGCAGGAGGGGCGCAACAGCTCTCTCACTTCCACTTTGGCTTGGAACCCTGGGGTCTGGGGAGCAGGTCTTGCTGAGCTGGAGGGTGGAGGGGAGTGTGGGTGGAGGGTGGACTTTGCCCCACCTGGTTCCCATTCTTTCCTGGGCCACTCCAACCCTTCCCTCTGTCCAACGGCCAGACTGGCCCTTCTCCCCTTCTCCTCTCCTCCGCCTGCCCCACTTCTGTGTTACTGAGCCACAGGCCACCCCAACATGAGTGATGCGGGACGGCCACCGAGGTTCATGGATTCTGTGGGTCAAGAGTTTAGAGCCCAGCGGGACAGCTTTTCTCTGCTCTATGATGTGACGCGCCTCAAGTGGGGAGAATGAAGGGCTTGGGTGACCCTAATGGCTGGGCCAGCACTGGCTGCACCCGGTGTTGACGCCCAGCTGGCGTGGTTAAGCAGGGCACCCAGATGGGGGCACTCCCAGGAGGCAGCCTTGGGACTCCAGCAAAGGGGGCAAAGTGCCTGTTGGGTCACCTGTTGGGTCACCACCCTCCAGCACCCACCAACGCCAGTTCTGCCACATGCTGTCACAGGCCACCCAGGTTGGAGAGGAGGGGACAGGGACCCCACCGTGTCCTGGACACATTGCGCAGGAAGTTGCAGTCTTGGTGTCCTTTCTTTTTAACCGTGGGGCCTGGAATCAGGCAGGCCATATTCTGCCCTTACGGCGTTCTGTCACCCTCCGTGTGGACAGTGCCCACCGTCAAACCTCCTCCCCCACCGCCTGTTCCTTGCCTTCTCCTCCAGCCCGCCGTCCACATTTGCACGATCTGCACCTGCACTGAAACATACCAGACCGTGATTTGAACATGCCAGCAGTGGTGTGCTTCTGTCTCTCGTGTTTTCTGCAAGCCACACGTGTCTCTGCCCACTGGCAGGTGGGCCGGTTTTCTCCGGAATGCGACGGCGTCGCGGATGGTCTGCGCCGAGAGGCACTGCGGCCGCGGATGGTCTGCGCAGAGAGGCGCTGTGGGCCAGCCAGAGGTGGTAGGCGGGTGGGATGCCCTGAGCCCTTTGGGGGTTGGGGAAACAGGACGGAGAGTTTTCGAGGCAGCCTGGGCGGGGCCTACATGCACTACCTCCTTTGGTGCCCGGTCCCTCGGGTAAGGGACCCGAATGAGGCATGAGTGTCTCCTGCACAGCAAGACGCACGTCACTGCATCTGTTTCTTCGTAGAAGGGACTGCACGCAGCCACTCCCTTTCCACTTAGGAAGGGAAGTCTGGACACAGACCGGGCTTCGGGGCCCCTAGACGGTTCAGACGCGGGAAGCCTGGGACTCGCTGTGGAATTCATTCACTGTCGGGCACACACATGTCGTCGGAATGGCGGCTTTCTGCTCACCGCTTCAGTCGACTTGATGTCACCCGTGTAATGGACTGATGTGAGGTCCCATGGAGACAAGGTCCTGTGGAGACGAGGGCGATCCGGGTCCCCATGAACCTGCTTAGGTGGTGAAAGCCCATCAGGGACAGCAGCTGCCGTCGGAGTCTCCGCCCAGTCCAGCTCCTTCGCCTTCGGAGGGACAAACGGGGACGTGCTGGCAAGTGCCATGCCCACACCTTTAGGTCCTTGTTGGGGCTCTTGTTCCTGCGGTCCCTCCAGAGATGCCTTACTGCTCTCGCCTTACTATTTTCCCAGGTAGGAGCCATTCTGGGGTTCCACCTGGCCTTTCCCACATTAACAGCCCCGACTCCAGGGACCAGGAAACCAAGGTGGGGTCCTGCTACCCGCCAGTTGTGCCTTCTGCCACAAGGTAGTAACCGAAGATAGGTTCAGGGACCCTCTGGAGCCACGGGGAGATGGACAGGACCAAGACAGCATTGATCACCTACCCTCCCTGAGCCCCTCCTCTGACTGGGGGTCACAATGGTATTTTGAGTCTCCAGGAATCAACCTCAGTTCAGAGCCAATGTCCCCGAAAAGCCTAGGATTTCTTCTTTCCCATTATAGCCACATGGTAAGTGCCCTCTTGGGGGCCTCAAGGGCACTGGCCTGGCCATTGTCCAGGGGGCTCTGGGTCTGTGGTCTGCGGACTGGCCTAGCCCTGGGGATCGGTTAGGGCTCCGTGACTTTCTATCCCAGTGATTCAGGTACAACTTTCTGCTGTGGACTGGATGTTTGCATCCCCACAAATTCATACATTGAAGCCCTAATCTGCAGTGATGGCCTTTGGAGCTGGGGTTTGGGGGAGGTAGGTAGGGTTCGATGAAGTCCTGAGGGTGGGGCCCTGGTCTCACGGGATTAGTGAGCTTAGGAGAGGAGACGTCGGGGAGCACGCACACAGGGAGAGGCCACGTGTGCACACTGAGGGGGGCCGCTTGCAACCCAGGACCCCACCGCCCTGGCTCCCTGGTCTGAGACTTCCAGTCTGCAGAACAGCGAGGAAACTGCTGTGGTTGAAACCCCCCACCCCCCGATCCCCTGGTCCATGGTATTTTGGGCACTCGTATTCACTGGGCCTAAAGCTGTTCCACTTACACAAATCAAGTGGGACTCTGGCAGGCTGCTCGTGATTTTAGTCCCAGGAGACGGTGATTTCTGCAGGTCAGAATATCCTCGTTATGCTTTGGCCCCACAGCCGCTCGCCCACTCGGGCATTTGGGTGCTGCCCTTTGCCCTGCCTCTGGGCGTCCTCAGAACCCGGTATCGGGGCAGCAGTTCCCAAGGTCCTTCCTGGTCCACAGAGCTCCCGGGGATGAGCTCCCCTCTTCCTGGACTGGTCAAGGAGGAAGGTCCTCTGGATCACCCCAGGGGCACAGTCAGGGAGAGAGAGAACAGATACAAATGCCATTCATGCAGCATTAAAAAATATTCTTAAAAAACAGTTTTGGGGCACCTGGGTGGCTCAGTGGGTTAAAGCCTCTGCCTTTGGCTCAGGTCATGGTCCCAGTGTCCTGGGATCGAGCCTGCATCGGGCTCTCTGCTCAGCAGGGAGCCTGCTTCCTCCTCTCTCTGCCTGCCTCTCTGCCTGCTTGTGATCTCTGTCTGTCAAATAAATAAAAAATCTTTTTTCAAAAACCAGTTTTAGATTTACAGAAATATTGAGCAGGTAGCACTGAGTTCCCGTAGGTTGCCAATCCCAATTTCCCTTATGTTAACATTGTGCGACAGTGTGTGGTACATTTGCCGCAATTCATGAGCCAATACTGATGTATCATTATGGATTGAAGCCCAGACTGTACTCAGATCTCCTCCGTTTCCTCTAATGTCCTTTTCCTACTCCAGGACCTCACCCAGGACCCCACATGACATTCGGTCCTCATGTGTCCCGGGGCTCCTCTGGGCTATGACAGCTTCTCAGACTTTCTGTTTGTGATGACCTTCACAGTTTGAAGGAGGACCAGTCGGGTATATTGTAGGGTGTCACCGTCTTGGAATCTGCGGTTTTTCTCACGACTGCGCTGGGGTCGTGGCTTTGAGGGGATGGGCACAGAGGCCAAGAGCCACTGTCAGCACGTCATGTCAGGTACACGTGACCGACAGGACTTGCCACCGTGATGCTGACCTGGACTGCCAGCTGCAGTGGGCTTGTCAGGTGTCTCTGCTGTGCCGTTGCTCACGGTCCCCCCTTCCGTCCTGCGCTCTCTGGAAGGATGTCCCCCCCTTCTGTCCTGCGCTCTCTGGACAGAGGTCCCCCTTCCGTCCCGCACTCTCTGGACGAAGGTCCCCCTTTCCGCCCCACGCTCTCTGGATGGAGGTCCCCCACTTCCGTCCTGTGCTTTTTGGAAGGAGGTCCCCTCTTGCAC